AAAAAAATATTTCCGTATGGAGGTGCAAGTACATTTTGATGCAGAAGTGATCAAATTTTAGAATAATATACATGACGTCCTAGTTATAAAATCTTTGCTAGTCATGCCATCATGCACCATGCATAAAATTGGAAAGAATGAACAAGATATTGCTTCAATAATCTCATTCTTCCCTGTTCTTACTAAGAGCCATAGAAACTATGCACAAAATTTGGACTTCAGTGGTCTATGCAGCCAATCTATGAGTAACTTAATTACAAACGAGAAAAGGGTGGAGTCAAGGTGTGATTTATGTGTATGTATGTGCACGCCTGTGTACAAAGTTATTACACCATTTTATTCAATGCACTTACTTACATAGGAATGACAACATAAATAGGAAATTCATTTAGAAATGGTATATCTAGACAGATTTTTAAGAAGTGCCATGAATAAGGAAGACTTACAAAGAAACTGCTAACTCCGTCGTATCTTGTGAACATTCCTGGGAACAATTTAAGCCATGTTTCATCACCGAGCATCACCATTTTCCAGCCAAATCTAAAAAATTGCCCTGTAATGCATATATTGAACATGCAAGTGAGATAACAGGTGACAATAAGCTAGATTAGTTATACAATAACTGAACTGATATCCAACAGGCTATCGAAATTAACCAATGAGGTTATCATCCAAAAATGCTTGTGTGTTGAAATTAAAAGCAACGTCCAAGAATCCCCCAACAGCTCCAGAAAGCATGGCCTGCTTATATAAAAAACTAATATCTTAGAGTAAGGGAACAAAACTGAGTTGGCTGTGCTTCATTCCTTGTGCCGTGAGTTTCGGGAGAAAAATGATTTGGGTTACCTTTAGGCGGGGCATAGTAACAGTTGGAGGTGCTGCCTTAGCATGATAGCCAATTGCCAATCCCTTAGTCAGTAATGACTGAGTATACGGCATAGCTTCCACAAACTCCTTACTCGGAGGCATACCATCTCTTCCAAGCACAAATTCTGCTGGAAGACCATCAATAACCTAAATTTACAGAATAATAACTATAAATGGTCGATACACTGAATCTAGCGAAACAAGTCACATAATGCTTAGAATCTACTCAAGAAACTGATTAGCAAATACTAAAAAATCACGAGCTACATACCATTAGTACTAATCGATCGAATACAGGAGGGACTCCAGATGCTTCCTGCATTCACCAAAATTAAGCTACATAATATTCAAATTCAAGATATCTTCATTCTCTCAAATACAGCAGAAAATTCAAATAACATTTTTGGTAAACTAGCAATTTTATCCAATTATACAAAATTATAACACAATCTCAGTTGTTATTTTCAAAATAATTAATCATACCTTAAAAAATATATAATAAATGCTAACCTGGTACAAAGACTTGAGCTTGTCAGGTGGTAAAGTTGAAGCATTTTGAGACAAGTCAATTGGATCAGAACCCGGTGGATAAAAACTCTCCAGCCCACTTCAACAATAGAGAAAACAAACGGCCACGTGGGGGAAAACAATCAAATTGTTGAAGAAATTTACTACATTTTCATTTTTTGATATGCATTTAATAATAATTACCTGATGCCTGAGAGAGTTGGCTTGACTGGGAAAAATCCAGTAATGAAAAGAAAGAGGCCAGTGATCTGGATTAGGACTGCTAAGACGGTGAACAGAGTCAACTTTGTGCATGTCAATGAAGAATAATTACCGACTGTTCTGGTGTTCATGATGCAAGGTCCAATGCACAGATTAGAGATGGAATAACGCACAAATTTTCTTCGGGGAATTTGAAATAGATTCGATCGCATGCTGCCTGTGAAGAACAGAGAGTCAGGCGGTGAGGACAAGGGTATTTTGGAGATTACAGAGGGCAATACACGTTAGAAACTTCTTGAGCTCAAAAACTTGGCAAATGTTTGAGTTAATTGCTCCAATGGACATTGAAGTTAGGTTCATGTTTTTTATTGGTCACTAAAGTTTAAAATATTGATTTTTGGGCATTGAACTTAGATTAATATCTTCGATTGCTCATTGAAGTTTAAAATGTTAAGTTTTGACCACTAAATTTTGAAAAATATTGTACATTACTCATTGTAAACTCAATATTTCTCAAAAGTTAACAGTTACGCTAATGAGTAACATACTGCATATTTCAAAATTCAGTGTTTAAAACTCGACATTTTAAATTTCAGTGACCAATCAAAAACTCATACCTAAGTTCAATAACTATTGGAACAATTAACTCCAAATGGTTTATTAGAAAAAATCCTTTTTATTGCAAAATTTAAGGCCCCGTTTGCTACCTATTTTTTTCAAAAATGCATTTCTTTATCTTCCTTTCGACCACAAATTCTTCATTAAAATAATATACGCGTAAATCAAAAAATTTCCTTAGGCCCCGTTTGGTACCCATTTTTTTCAAAATACATTTTTCTCTCTTTTTTTCAACCACACATTTTGTATTAAAATAATACCACACGTAAATCAAAAACTTTTCCTTATTTTTCAATCACACATTTTTCATCAATTTATTATTTAAAAATACATTTTTACATAAAAATATCTCCCAAACACTCTCTTATTTTTCAACCACATATTTTTCATCAATTTACTATTTCAAAATAAACTTTTACATAAAAATGGCTCACAAAAACCCTTTTAAAGTATATTCTTTGTAGAAGTTCCACTCAAACCAATTTAGCCCGTTTGATCCACATTACCTGAAAATGAAAATGGGGGGAATAGTATTTTTTAAAAAAATAAGTGGTTGAAAAAGAAGAAAAAAATTTCGATTTACGTGTAATATTATTTTCTGGAAGATTGTGTAGTTGAAAATAGGAGAGAGAAAAACGAAATGTAATGTAATTTAGTTAAATGAGGATCAAACATGGGCTTAGTGAGTCGAGCTCTAATGTTGGATTAGACATGCTATGTCAATTGATTAGACGTAATAAAGAGTCTACTAGCCTATGTCGGAAGTGAAATGGCAGTCCTAGTTTATTTTTTTAATTTTTATCAACTAATTAGTTTTTTTATTTGAAAAAAAAAAAAAAAAAGGCTCAAAACTGTCGTTCTTTTCTCTTTAATATAAAATGGGTAACATTAATTAAAAATAGGTATCATTACAAAAAATTATAAATCAACTTATTCAATCCTTCCTCTCTCATCCATACTCTCAATCGATTACACAACCACCTCGGTCGCCATGCCTTCATCAAACCCTCATACCACCCCCGTAAACACACACCTCTACCAAGTTGAAGATTTATTCTTCTTCTTTTTATTTTTTATATTAAAAAAGTGTTAAGAATTAGATCTGAACTATTATTGAAGATGAACAATTAAAATACTAGTCGAACGGATAATAGGGGTGACGATAAATAATAGATGTCGATGCATGTTGATTCCCTACACCGCGTACCACCACCATGTTGCAGATCTGAAACCACCTGAATTTGCTTGTATAATTTCTGTTTATGTGATTTGGAGTTAGTATATTTGGTTGTATTGGTGGTGGTTTTGTCATTGTTCATGACGAATAGCAACTCGTTTTTGTGATGATTTGTGGAGGCATCAATGGTAGTGTATGTGGCATGATGGTACATATTTACTCATGTTTTTGGTCCTATAAGGTTAGGAGGTGGTGGTGGTGGTGTTATTTAGATACAATACATGAAAATTACATACATGATAACAATAATATATGTAATGGACAACCGTCGATAAAGAAAAAAGAAAAGGATTTTGCTAAATGTACATTAGCATGTACATCCGAATGTCCATAATGGACACTCAGCACCCGCTGTTGGTCGAGGTGCCGATGGGCACCAACATAGCAGGCATCTCGACCAATGTCGAGGCGCCAGGTGTCCATTATGGACACCCCGATGAACACGCTAATGTACATCTAGCACGGTCGAAAGGAAAATTACAACATTGTAAGTAGACTTTGCAAGAATTCCATTTTTTCTCATTGCATCCACCATCATATTGATACCATTGAGCTAATGGGAGGCTACATTTTTTTTTTTTTTTTTATACCCAGGTGTCCACCTTACAACGACTATCCTGGGATCTACGATCCAACCCCTTTTCACACAGACAAAATAAATCACACGTTGTGCCCCAAACTGGTCAGGGTCCAAGAGTTCCCCCAATTGAACTGCCGAACATCTTGACCTCAATACCATCATCACCATCAAAAGTCACCACATCAACTAAAAAAATTACGTACACGGTTGTTTAAATGCCATATTAACAATTACCTTGAAATGGTGTGAAACCAACTTACTCTATATACTTTCGACCCCATTGTTCCTTTGTAAATCACCACTATCCACATTTTGAACTCACAAAAATCACACTAATATTCTGATTCTCTCAATTACACCAGTTTTAGAGAGTTAAACATCTTAATTCTTATGAGTGGCCTATGTGAATATAAGCCAAGAGCAAGCCTAATCGACTCGACTCTTTTCCTTGACCCTCGACCTCTCATTTCATGTCGTTCTTATTTCTGAACACATCCAATCAGCCAGACTTCCTCAAATTCCCACCACCTGCCATTCGCTTTTCCAGGTGTCTTATTCAACAATTATCCATGATCTCCCGATTAAATTGTCTTCGTGTTACAACTTGCATTCGTTTAGCCTCAAAAAGTTTAATAGTACATCTGAATATATAACCCCCTTCTGCTATTCCAGTGTCCAGACTCCCCAAGGACATTGTCATCCTATTGTAATTTTTCTCCCTCGATAATACTAACACGAGAAGGTCTTGTTGGCACACAGACACATTAATTTCGTATCATTTGTCAAATAATTTGTACAAACTGACCACACTTCACCAGTTTTTTTCCAGTGAACGCCATAGAAACAGAAAATGAACCAATCCCATACACTAGTGTTCAGTTTCGAAAATTTGATCGACAAATGGCAGCTGATTTCATCAAGCTTAAACACTATAGGCAACAAGAAAAAAGAGAGGTTCGGGAGCAGAGAGAATGATATCATGTTTGAACACACTTTATAAATAGCATGTACAGATACACCGCTAAATTGGTGATACTGTGAACAGTCACTGATCAGTACCAATGCATTGTAACCAAGCACGATGGCTCAAAAGATCTGCTTACATGACAGAATACAAAAAAACATACAAGCCGGAATTTATAAGACAAGCTAGAAAATGCATATTATGTGAGAGATCATTGGAAATGAGATGTACAAATTTCCCCTCCCAACAAATTGGCTCTTATGATTTCACATCCTTCAGTACTCCCCCCTTCTCAAGTTCACCAACGAGGTCCCTTAGAGCAGGAACCTTCATGGCAAGAGTCCTATACAATCTAGAGTACCGAGCTCGTGTTCCATCTTCAGTCCTTGCAAGAGCAAGTAAACTAAGAGCCTCAGGGAGTTGCGAGAATACCTCTTTCATCTCCTCCAGGCTTTTATTTTCCAGAACGGTTGGTCTTGGAACGACCATAACAATTTCCCCACCTTTAGGTTCCTGAACCCGTGCATCAGCTTTAATGACCAATTCGGAATTTGAGTTGGCTCCACATTTGATGATGAATGGAGTTGTTGAACCGGTGTTGAACTGTAAAACATTCCACTGTGCCACATCGGTTTCAGCACCATATGCCGTGTCCCCAGAAAGTTTGTGAGCATGTGCAGTGTCATGAAGCTGGTCATCCTCTTCAGAAATTGACTGCATCACAAGAAGAATATCAGATATGTGTAGCAGTGAGAATATATCAAAAGTTTAGCCAACATTCTAGGCATTAAGTCCAGCATAACCGTATTGACAGATCTTCTATTGAACACACAGAAAATAATGTCCCTTCAATTTCCTAAACGGAGTAACTTGGGGATGGCACAAAGATGAGCAAACATATTTCGTATAAAAATGGGGTGCTTAAAGCCCAAAAATTTCCTCACTGCATTAATTTATTGAATTTCATAGCATTTTGGTAAAAGGTTAAAACATCAGATATGATGGTTTTTCAATGAGCCACTCAGCATAGAATGTGATTGCACTAAAGGTTGGAACATCTATTACTGACTCAATCCTGAGACAAACCCAAGTTATATAAAAACCCCAAGGAGTAAGTTTAAAGTAAAGAATATTATTTCTCCAATTCTCATCTTCAAAGATCACAAACATCAGCACTCCTTACCAATAGGATAACTACTGGATATCAATTCCTTTCACAATATTAAATGGATCTACCAATCTAACCAAATGCCAGTAGAATCGGACAAGTGACAATATTAATTCTTGTAGTTTGAATTACCTCTAGGGCATGTCTAGCTTCAGCTATATGCCTCTGTGCACAAGGATGATCAACTTCAAGCAAGGATGGCATCCGTTCGGCAAGTTCATCAAGAGAGGCAAGCATTGATTTCTTCTTACTCTTACCGAGAACCTTCGCTGAGCATTGCTTCATTATATCCTGTTGAAGTATTAAAATTAAAGGACATTTCATTTACTTCTTACCTGGTCCACATAAAACCTGCTTTTCAGCAACTACGTGGATAGAGTCATAGAGAAAGGTGAAAACCTTGACTTGCTTCAGTATGGAATCCAAGGAAATTAATGATGCCAGTCTTGCATCCTCAGCAGCAGTAGAAGGATTCCGAATGGGTGAAGCACCATCTTCTAAGTTCAACATTGCAGCATCACTTCTCATTTGTTGCAAAATCTGATGATTGAAACGAAAGTGCCAGTGTGCCAAATAAGTAATTTAATCATGATCATATGATTCACATTTTGCAACCATCTCTCAGCCTACAAACTGAACATTAGCAACATATTATAGTTTGATCCAGTCATTACACCTGGCAATTGCTAGATCATTATTTGACTCTTGATCCTAAAGCAGCCATAAATCCCCTTCCATATAGATAGTCCGACTTCATTAGTACATTCATAGGATGGAGCTATGATTTTATTCCCTAACATAATATTTTATTCACCGGGGACTCACATACAAAATGGCTGTTTCAACTAACGGAACTTTCATAGGCAGTCAATTATTCCTTTTTAGCCTTTTTCTTCTTTGAAACATACAAGATCACAGTCCTCCTCAAAAGAACTATTATTCGATTCTGTTGCTCTATAACAGTAAAAGCAACTAATTATCGACATTTTGCTGTAAAAGATTCAAAAACAGTAATGTATTTCTATCAAAAATATAAAACTATATACAAAGACAGTGAGGAAGAGATTATAAATATTTATATTTAGATACTTATAATTATAGAATAATTAATAAAAATAGCCAACAGTTTAACTATTTATCAAGGGAAAATTTACAAAGGACAGTTATTATTTTTGATACTCTAAATCAGTTTCTTTTACTTGGGAAGCACGGTGATTAAAAAAATGTAAAGTAGAAATTTGGGATCCAAAAACAACAAAAAAATAAATAGTCAATGATTAGTTTTGTTTTTTTTACATGGACAGACACAAGACAGAGAAAAGGAGGGTGGACAAGCAAAAGCAAAGAAAGCTGTAAGACTGTAACTCTGACCTTCCTTCTCTTGTGATCCACAGACTCCAGAGCTCCACGTAGCTTAGCTACTTGTGCAGAGTCTTCTGCCACTTCGGTTGCCAAAGTACCTGAAATATCCTGATAAAGACAAGCATATTATTTAGTAATATCATAGAAGTATAATGACAGAAACTAGTTTCCAGAAGCTTAACTAAACATTGCCTTCAGTTTTCGAAGGAAAAATAAGAAGCAAATGAAAATTTTAAATCTCTAGACAATCATAGACATCATAGGATACAAACTGAGAATACACCTTGTTCAGTATTGAAAGAAACTGAGCATGAAAATTGATACTGAACAGATAAGCAGAGTATAGAACAGTATAAAACCACGAATCATCACAAGCAAAATGAGGATGAAAGTTAGTGATGGCAATTTGCCCTGCCTGCCCCGCCCCGTCCCGTCCCGAACAGAGCAAAAAAAACCCGCCCCGTGAAGAAAAAGTAAAAAAAAAAAAAATTAAAAATAATTTTATTTATAGATAATTCATATGTTAAAAACTCATTTTAAATTTGTATTTTATTCTCTAATAATAACATAATTCGAAACTTTCAAAATGTAAAAATAAAAAAATTAAACGAGACAACAAACGGGACAAAAAGTTGCCCCGTCCCCGCCGTGCCCCGTCCCGCCCCGTCTAAAGCGGGGCAGGGCGAAGTTTTGGCCAAACGGGCAGGGTGGGGGTGCCGCGTCCCGAACCCGCCCCGTTGCCATCACTAAGAACTACGAGGAACTTGAGCCCAACTTAATTGTTCCCATCACAACAAAAAGGAAGGTTTTTGGTAAAAATTGTAAAAACCACACTTCTCAAAAAAAAAAAAAAAAAAAAAAAAAAAAAAAAAAAAAAAAAAATTCAGTGACCAAGAACCAACAATCTAGAACAACCCCAAAAAGACATCTTTGATAGAACCACTCAAAGCCCTACCTACCAAGACAATTTCAAGAAGACAAACCCAGAAATACGAGATCAAGTAAGAAAGAGGTCAAAAGACCTTTTTTTAACTAAAATTTCTCAAAACCAGCCTCTAAAACCCAAACACCAACAAATCCAAGGTAAATTAACAAAAACATTTAACATAACAATACCGTAAAAGAATCCAAAATGTGAACAAGAGAGCTAACCGGAGAGATGTGTTAAATGGTCTCAATCTAGCTACTGGATTGCTGGAAGGGCGAAGGGGGCTTTGCCGCTTTGTGAATGGGTCAAGTCGAACGAGGAAATTGGAAAAGAAAAATTAGGGCAAGTGTGGGGATTGAGGAAGTGGGCAACTGATCTGGTTCAGCTATTTATTTAATACATTTTTTTTTTTCACGGAGAGGGTGCGCCACGTGACCCGAGATGGGGCAGCACCTCCCGCCCCGCCCCATCAACCCATTAGGGCAGGTCTCGACGGGATGGGGCAAATTGCCATCGCTACTCAAGATTGGAGCTCAACTTTTTTTTTTCTTTTCTTAAATAATAAGATTAGTCTTCTCAATATATTATTTTCCCATTGTAGCGCGTAAAAAAATAATCCAACAGAGAACTGGGAATGGCGCTAATGATACTTAACCCCTCGTCATCTTCAGTTACCAGCAAAAAATCCCATCTCCTCCTCCACAAATCATCCAATTCCTATCCCAAAACCGCTAATTTTTCCCAATTCCCATCCCAAAACCGCTAATTTTTCTATCAAATCCGAACAAGATTCCTCCTCAAACCAACCTACGGAACAAACCCCTCCCAATCCCAAGAAAGCCAACAATTTATCGTCTGGTTCAGGATTTGGCTCTGCTTCTGCAGCTTCCACAGTATCCTCGTCCAAGAGGAAACAGCAGAAGGGAAAAAGAGAAAGGGCCTCCATAATTCGTAGAGAACCGCTGGAAAAACCCAAGTTTGTTGCAACTCCACAAGAGGAAGCGAGGAGCGAAGAGCTGAGGAAGAGTGAGAGTGCTTTTCTTCTTGCTTGGTTAGGACTCGGCGCAATTATTCTTGTCGAGGGTATTGTTCTAGCTGCCTCAGGTGGGTTTGATTCTAGTCATTTGCCCCTTCCTTTTATGCATTTTGAAATTCATTGCAGTTATTTGTTGTTGATAGTTGTTAGTGTTTCTTCTTTGCTTGTTTATCAAAGACAAAATTTAAAGGCTTAAGCTTTTAGACGGGATTGTTTAACATAGTATTGGAGACTCCAAAGGTCCATTGACTTATAAAACTCGTGCAGCTGTCCAGGTCAGGTGTAAGGCTCTGGTGTAAAAAAAAAAAAAGAAGAAGAAGAAGAAAGAATCTGGTCTACAGGGGCTTTAAATTTCAATAAATAAATATGTCACTTCTCTAAAATTTTAAGCGAGTTGGTTCCATATTTACTTGTGAGCAGCGTCAGAGGAAGCATTAAGAAACTCTGCCACGCTGATTACATTCTATAACTACTTTTAAGGCAGGCATTATGTTGCATACATTTAGTACCAAGTATTAATTTTTGTTTCTGACATTAGCAATATGAAAAACTCACTAGTATCAATATGTAATGGAATTTGGCCAATTTCGGGTTCAATACCTCAGTCTCAACTGAAAAATTCTATGAGAATTGAAGCAGGATAGGGCCGATAGGCTGTAGCTCACAATATGCTCGGAAATTCCGTGAATAATTATAATTATTGTATTATCTGCTGCTGACCGTTATATTGATACAATATTATAAATAATGACTTTCCAAAGCAACAGTATCATTTGTCCGTATACTATCTAGAATTCCAATGGAAAAACAATGCCAGGCTAGCCGATCCATCTCTCTGTAAATGTAATTTGTGTGATTCTTAATGTTAGAAGTACTTGCAACTTGAAAGTTAGCACGTTATAACTTGAGTCTAGAAGTCAATTTTTAGTGCTTAAAAATTGTATTACGGTTCCTTTTTTCTGAGATGTATATCTTCTTGTAATACAAGGAAAGAAATATAAGTCATTTTGCATTGCTTATGTATGATGCACCTCGTTTAAGTGCTGTGAAATTGCAGATTATGATATATCCATCTACTACTTGCAGGCTTTTTACCAGAAGAATGGGATAAGTTCTTTGTGAAGTATCTTTACCCTTCGTTTACTCCAACAGTGTTCTTGTTTGTGGCTGGTACAGTTGCCTATGGAGTTTTGAAGTACTTGCAAAATGAGCAATTTAACCGGGAAAACTGATCTTACAATATCAAATATGAGTTAGAGGGGTTCTAGCATAATTAGCAAGGTCTTATTTGTTCCGTCCGATGCTTTTTGTCCCTGTGACCAAACAAATATGTATTATCGAAATTCTAAAACTGTTATTCAGAAAAATGCTGAAACACAAAAAAAAAAAAAAAAAAAAAACTTATTACTAAATCTGGGAAATGACAACCAAAAATATAAATACAGGCAATCACACCTGTCTAAAGCTACCTAGGACACAGTTATTTCTACAAAGACCACACAGAATCATGATATATCTCTTCTAGTCTACCTTAATAGGTTCTTCTAATTGTAAGCTACCCGATTTAATGAAACTCAAATTCACCCAACTTATGCTTAATCAGCAACATTTTTGTCCATTGGTCTAAATGGAGAGAAGCAGCATTTATTTTAGTTAAATTTTTGCATATTTCCAGCAGTTCTACATATTAATTATGGCATATATTGCGAAAGGTCTGGATTAAAAATACTTACATGTTGTGATAAGAACAAGCTATGTACATAAAATACAACCACCATCCAAGGGATAACACAACCTAATAAAAATTGAATTGTCGATCACTATTCATAACAGGGCGTCACAATAGCTTCTAAGAAACAAACCAGATCCAAATGACTAAAATAGTTCTATATCTAAATGCATGACATAATGAATGAACATTCATACCAGCATCAGAAGCTTGTTAGCCCCATCTGAAATGGCAGCAAGACTGTCGTATTGTTCTGGATCAAAATCATTAAGGGCAGAAGTAAGATATTCACCAGCTGGGGTAGTTTTCCCCCTCTCAGGACCAGATTTAACCAAAGCAACTGTGTCCTCTGTCTTATCTGAGGCGAAGGGTAAAGTGGCAACATCACCAGAAGGTCCTTTAACGTTAGTACTATCAGTCCTGTCAAGAAAAATCGAAGAGAACCCTTCTATTAAGAACCATAAATGAAGTAAAATATGGGAAAACATGATAAGAATTAGTTATTGTAAAACAGTAACAGAAATGAACCTGCCCACTTCGCGAGACTGAATAGCTTGTCCTTTGGGAGATGGACTTGACACCTAAGAGTAAAGGTCACGCAAGTGAGATGTACACGTGCCAAATCTAAATTTGAAAGTCAAACCACAAAAACTAAACTAACATGTATATTAAGGTAGCATACAGATACAAACATTTGCAACAGAGAAACAACAACACGACCCAAGTTAACAACTGTCATAACCTGCAACAGATATTAAAGAAGATCAATAACGAACCTGAGGTGTTCCAGCTAATGAAGCTTTTTCTGTCAATCTGTCAAATAATTTCTCATTTTCTTCATGCAATCTCTGCCAAAGAAAATAAACATAAATATCTTTTAGCAGTGTAAGGACAATTCATTGCCAACAAAGATGGTTGGATGTCTAAGTTCTCTTTAAATTAAAGCAAATTTTGAAAAGAAAGGCACCAAGTATATATATTTTAAAGCAAAGTAACCAACAATATTGAAGCATCCCTCATATAAGATTGGTACACTAAAGTACCTCAATAAGGGTGTCCCGTTTCTTGAGTTCCTCCTCAAGTCTCTTGGTAACTGCAGCAGAATCCATGTCATCCACTGTTGTTTTGGTGGTTTGCTCCAATGTTCTCGATTCTGAGCCATTTGTTAACTTTGTCTCCCTTGAAAGAAGAGCTTCATTTAGTTGTGATTCAATGCCCTTCAGTTTTTCCTACACAAAGAGGCATTGATATCAGTGAAGTTCATCAATTCCTTGGTAAAGTTATCTCTTCATCGGAATTTAGTTTTCATAATATAAACAATAATGTTATCTGAATTTAAAATATAAAAATCAATAACCCTTGGGAGATAAAGAAGGCTAGATCAAATGATTAATTCCTTATAATAAATCCCTATGTATTACCTTTCAATAAACCCCAAGCATGTTGTTCTATCAACCCTTAAGCCACAAAATTAAAACAATTGTACAAGTCTGTCGTCTGATGATATAACTGAAGTATCCTAATGGTATCCTATATCGATTATTTTACTGGTAAGCATAGAGAAATTCATTAAGCATGTACTGAAAGACTAATATCACTGAAAGGAAACATGGCCCATGTTGATAGAGCTCATTATCATCTGATACTAAAACTATCCTCTCAACCTACAGAAGGCATTGTTCCCTCAGCAGGCATATGTAGTTGTCCACAACCTGCCGAAAGGGTAGTGACAACAATCTTCCCATTAGTGGAGCATGTTACAATTTTTTGGGTAAATAGCAGCAAAAGTCCCCAGCATCTTATTTTATTTTTTCGTTTTTTTTGGACAACCGAGTCCCTAACCTTTGATAATTAGTGGGATTCATCCAAACGGATGGTTTTCATCCATTTTTCAGTTAGTTCACAGATTTGACCAAAATATTTAAAAGGGAAAATTAGTCCTTTCTAAAATACTAAAAAAAAAGCAAAGAAAAATAGAAAGATTATAATACAAAAATTTAAAATTTAAAAAAAAAAGGTCATCTTCTTTCAATACACCCAACAACTCCCCCCATCCTCCTGTAAACCCACCTCCACCATGCCACACCATCACCACTACCCTCTTATTTTGGCAGCAAACCAAGAGGCCCGTTCTGTCATCAAACTCTGCCATTTTTGGCAGCAAACCATGGAGGGAGAAATTCCTCCCATGCTGCCATCAGAAAATGGAAATAAATACCTTACTTTATGATGTATATCTGTTTACCCAAACATCACAGTTTAAAAACAAGTGTAATTCGCAAAAATACATTCTTACATCCAACAAATTGAGTAAAAGCAACATTATCTATAAAATGTATCTCAATTTAGATTCAACATACCATACGTCAAAAGAGAAATATCATAAATAAGAATTTTCCCTATTATGATATCCCATATCATAAGATCGAGAAAAATCAAATTTGTTCGCATAAAATCAATCAAAAGAGAATATACATATCGGCAAAATCATTACACAGCCGTAATTCATTAACTTCTGGAGTGGTTGACCTGCTGGAGAAGATTGGAGAGGAGCCCAAAAAGCTACGTTTCTGCAACCAGCAGTGGTTGCGGTGGTGTTTTTTCTTTTTTCTTGAGAAGTTTAATGGGAACCAAAAGCAACCTCAATTATATAGTTAATGTCTACCAACAAAGGATTTTGCTAATCGAAATTAAATAGGTGAAGGGTTGGCAGTGGGGGTGGGATGTGATGAGAATCTTGGAGGGCACCACTGCATGTTCCGGGGTTATATAGATAAATTAGAATAGAAGATCCTAAACCAATTAGAAAATAGAAGGAATATGAAGTGTGTGTGAAAACGCTCAGGATGTACAAAAATGCATATATCTTTCAGCTCGATTGTTGGATTTTCGTCTATGAATACAATCCGAAAACATCTTTCGATTCTACACAAGTTTGTTGGATGACTTTGTCAAACTTTGAGGGTCAAATTCGGTTGTTTAGTGATCTATTTTTGCATATTTTTGTTTTGAATTAGTTTAACGGCCTTCTCGTTATTTGTAGTATTTTAGTTTTATTCAAATTTGTTTTGTCGTTTTCTAGTTAATTCGGATTTGTCTTTAGAATTAGAGTTATAATAGTATTTTAGTTTTATTCAGATTAATTTTGTAGTTTTCTAGTTTATTTGGATTTGCCTTTAGAGTTTTGTATTGATTAGGAGTTTATTTTATGCCTATAAAAGGCTTATTCATTGTACAATAAAGACACTAATTTTTAGAATTAATCATAGTGCGAAATTTTTCACTTTCTATCTTGTTTTTTATTGAAAAGAACTAATCAAATATTTTCAATATTTGTGGTGTTCAAATTATCGGAACTTATCAAAGATTCATACTCTTTGTGGCGTTAACCAATTCAAGTAACGTTCGTAAGTTTTGTGATCACAGGGTCAAAATATTGTTTGCAATTATCCTGGTTCTTTGGTTCAATAATTTATCGAGTCAAGCTTTCAAACAATTCGAGTGAGATTCATGAGTCTTGTAATCAATGGATCAACATATTGTCGACTATTGTTGGTTACTTGTTCAATATTCTTGAATCATACTCAAAACTTTAATTTATTAGCTTTCTTGGTTGTGATTCAATCTCTTGTGGGTTTCGTAACTTCAATTGCTATGTGGGTTCGCATCAAGATGGGTAGGGAGTGGTGTAGGTAAGATGATAGTGAATTTTTTGTTTATTTATGTAGCCTACATTTGGCTATGTTTATAAACACTCAAATCACTTTTTATCCTGGCATTTCGAGATACTGACAAATACTACTCACTTATTCACCATTCATTTCTATCTATTTATAGTTTAGACCGTTCAATTCCCAAACATGCTATTATTTATTGATTGAATTCCCATTTTTTTAGTTTTTCCAAATTGTTCATTTTTAAATTATTTTAATTTAGAATAATAGAATGATCACTTGCCCTTTTAAGTTCTTTAATATTCGGGTCAAATCTGTCGACTAACAAAAAAATGGATTGAAATCATTCAGTTGGATGAAGCTACTTTATTTATCAAAGGTTGGGAACCCATTTGGCCCAAAAAAAAGGTTCGGGATGAAGTTGCTGAAGAAGTGAAAGGTTGGGGACGTTTGAAGCGATTTATTCTAATTCTTTTCATTGCCAGAGCAGAGGAAAGTATGAACTCAAATGTTCTGATAAGGCAACATCACATCTTATGTTCGCATGTGATTGCACCAGGATTTAACAGATAAAAATGTCGCGAGCACAATAATTTAACCACATTGTGTTTGACTTTCTAACTATATTCTAGAACTACTGGAGACATCACTTATCAATAAAAGAAACCAGTGAGTGATAAAAAGAATGAAAAATTAAACAATCCAAAAGAAAACAAGTCAATATATTCACTTAAGGGAGAAAATATCGTCAAGAAAAGTTCACAAGTCAAATCCAAATCTACAGTAAACCGACAAGAGGAGATCAGAACACAATTTCTGTGCCAACCTGTAAAATCTGAATTTTTGAATCCCGTTTTTGTATCAACAATTTCTGGTCCTGCTCTACTTGCAACAGTTGAGTAACTTGATTCCTAAGCTGTGCATTCTGATCCTTCTCTATTTTATGCTTATCAGCAAGCATAATATTCTCTGACTGCTCCACATAACACAAGGTCATATTGTTAGAAAAAAGGATTTTGAAGGAAATCAGTCGCCATGGTGTTGTACTAAAAAAACATTTAAACATCATCAGGGCACAATAAATATAGAGTTTTCAACAATTCAAAAAATTAAAAAGATCAAAGGAGAATAATTCACTAGTGTTCTTGTCAGAAGACAGTATATTTTACAGAGGCTGAAGAACTAAACAAATGGCCAGCATAGACTTTTCATTACCTTGTCTCTGAAACTGCATTCAGAAGAAGCATTATCCATTATGTGTCTTGGATCCATGCTTGGGATGATTATGAGCCCTTATTTGGGCTCCATTTTAATGAGATTTTGAGAAAAATATACTCTAGAATACTCTTTTCAGTGCTTCCGATGAAATTAGAGGACAGTGGCATGTTCAAGGAATTTTAGACCAAATAGGTCTTAGCCAATTATTGATCTTGACTCATATATACCACATCTAAGGAGACGGGAATCATGTAGCCAACACTAAGGTGGATTGTACTACAAGGCATTAAAGGAGTTTCATTTACAGGACCTAAGACCGCAGCTCAGAAGTATGATATATCTTGAAGCAAGGCAGGTTCCTTATATTAGAGGCATTTTTTTGTTGGTTACCCTGCTTTAATTGTTTTACTGATGCTTTACATAATAGAAGCAGTACTTCCACGTCTATAGGTTTCATTAATCTCATTTTCTTCTCTTCAATTGGATCTCTAGAGGTGATGTCCTCGTCCACCTCCCGTCGATACTGCATTTTCATGTCAATAAACATGATAAGGGTACTCCACACCCCCACATTGGGTCTAGATGGACACCTAAAAACTCCGGCCATGGGGGAACTTTAAGACCTATAAAGGAACTCTTTCAACTGTTGCAAGATACCAGCCTAGTATTAGTATTTCTTCCCCTAAACGGCAACTAAGCACAGTGCAAGAGAACGGTTTAAATAAGCTTTAGGAGTTCAATGAAGAAAAAACAATGTTAAGGACCACAAGTATTTAGAGTACACAACAACTAAAAAAATAATGATTCCACAAACCTTTAAATCTGACTGCAGCGTAAAAGAAACTTTCCATGCTTTCTGAACTTCATTGAAGAGTAAAACGCACTGGTCATTTGCATGCTTTAAAGCTTGTTTTAGACCCACAACTTCTAGCTTCATATCACTTATTTCTTTTTCCTTTTCATATAACTCTTTTCGTGCATCATTTGCCTGCAAAGGATATTAAGAGAAACTTCCATCACATATTTATCTCCATGTTAATTGCAACACAGAACATGGCGTCAAAAATAGGCAGCAAGCATTCTAAAATGTAAAAAGTCATGACAATTGTAAATGCCTAGATTAATTTGTTGAAAAAAAAAAAAAAAATAGCATCCAACTATTAGCGTGTCAGATGAGTAAGCTTGTGCTTTTAAAATAATTAACAAAGAACCTTTTCTTCTCCCTCCATCTCTCCAGCGGGGATATATAAATTGTTACATGCTGAGGATTAAGAAAAACAAGCAATATTTTATCTATTGATTTGAATGGTACAAGAGTTCTGCAGAACTTACAACATCTTTCCATTTCTTGATCGTATCCCGATTCCCAAGGCTCAGCACAGCATTTCGAGCTCTAGCAGAGAAATTGAGGGATGACAATGTCTCAGACATGTTTGAGGCATTTGGACAGACGTTAACAATCATCAAAGTTTTCGAGCTTCCACCTACACGAAAATGTAGATATGAAGACTTCACCAAAAAAGCCACCGGAAAAGTCAAAAATGAAAAGGTGGAGAACAGAAGCTTGTATCAAATGATACATTGGCAAAAGGCTGGCCACAACTGCGGATGAAAGAAGAAAAGAAAAACGTGTATTTTGGTACGTCGTCCTCTACATTAATCAGTAACATAAAAATTTCCTTTATTCATTATCTTGAACACTGCATACAGGATGTAAATGGTTAAAAGTTCAAATATGGTATGCACCAAGAGAAAGCAAAATCCTGATCAATGAGTCACGTAGACACCAGCTACTACCTTTCTATTAATACAGTAACCCATAACATATTAAAAAAAAGCTTGATAATTAAGTCGTCTAACAATTTTTTCTTGAATTACCTTCTTTCAAGCAAAAGTAACAAATAAATAACACATGAAACTATTTATGGATAAATCAAAGTCAGATGTTTGATTAGTTTTGTCATCAAGAGATCATCAAGCGGTGAAGAACCAATATCTAAGTAAAACCTTTCTAAGGATAAAATAAATATCATATAAAAATATAAGAATAGATCGTAATACAAAATTTTCCTACTTAATGAGATAATAAATCCTGTTTTCCCATTTGATTTATCCCCGCTCCACATCATTGGCATCTGAGATCAAGAAAGTGTTCTGATTCTATTTCTTTTGCTTCTTCATATATTATCCCACTCTTTCTTGTCAGTCTCTTCAACTGGGAATTTTTCCTGAGAACCTCAAATTCTTGCATAGCACTTATAAGTTGAGGCACCAAATAATTTCATGTGTCAGTCAAGTCAGATAAAAAAAAAATTATTAAGATTGGATGATTAGTATATACTGTTACATCACAAAAAAATTGTTAGGATCAGTCCTTCGATATCCAATTTTACACTCGTAAATCGTAACACATTCAAAATTTCCTGCAAATAGTCCCTGCGCAAACGAAACTGTCTCATTTTCCCAAATGCATCTTGTCATTTCTCTTTAATACTTTCTGGAAGTAGTATACAATATTGATGTGGTTAGTTATCTAATCTAAGTGTCAAGTAGAAGCATTCTCCTAGTAGAATATTATATCAGCAGCATTTTCAGATATCACATAACAAAGACATTTAATGTCACCCAAGAGGACATTTAATTTGAGAGAGAGTACAGGAAGAAAGAGTAGTTCCAATAACTGTATGTCTACGGTCTCCTATTCAGTTTTGGTAAACAGCACTCCTGAGGATTATTTTCAAAGTAGTAAGGTTTGAGGCAAAGGGATCCATAGTCCCCGCTGTTATTTGTTATTGTTATGAAGGCTTTCAGTACAATGCTTGAGAAAGCTGTCGGAGAAAGACCGTTGAGGGGCTTTACGATTAACCAATTGCAAGTATCCTATTTGCCATTTGTAAACGACACATTGATCTTCTATGATGCAAAGGTTGAGCAATTCAGAAACTTGCGTCATCTGCTACCATGCTTTGAAGTTTTATCTGGATTGAAAAATTAATTTGGAGAAATTTGAGGCTATCACAATGGGGGTTGATAATGTGAAAGAATTGGAGGCCATATTGGGTTGTAGGATTGCGCAACTGCCTATGTCATATCCCGGGCTCCCCTAAGGAGCACGATTTAAAAATATACACATTTGGAACAATAATGTGGAAAGGAGGTTAGGGGCTTGGAAGCATATGTCCTCTCAAAGGGAGGTCGTCTTACCCTCATCAAGTTCACTCTATCGAATTTCCCCACTTAGTTCTTGTCATTGTTTCCTATTCCTGTTTCAGTGGCAAAAAAATTAAAGAAGATTTAATGGGAGTTTTTATGAGGAGGTTTAGAGGAGGAGAGGAAACTTCATTTGGTTAACTGGAGTACAGTGTGTTCACCCATAAAAACAAGGGCCTCGAATTGAGAAGTCTTGTATTGTTTAATAAGACATTGTTGTGGCAATTTGATGTGGAAAGAGAGCTTTTGGAGAGAAATTATAAAGGCGAAATATGGGGCATTAGAGGGACATGGTGATCAGCCGAGGGTCGTGGTTCCTATGGGGTGAATTTGTGGAGGTATATTCGACGAGGATGGAGAGAATTTCATCATAGATTGACGTATGTGGAGGGAAATGGCGATACTATCAGATTCTGGGAAGATTGCTAGTATAGAGATCAGCTGTTAAGAGTAGAGTATCCTTCCCTATATCGTATTACTTTGATGCCATATGCTATGGTGGATGAAGTCTTATATGTGCATAATGGGAATCCCAACTGGATTATTGCTTTTGGGAGGGTCTACAAGACTGGGAATTGAATGATTATATGTTACTCATGGCCTCTTTGTATGAGGTGCACGTCAATGTAGGAGAGAGTCATTGTAGCAGGTAGAGGTTAGCACGCGATGGCATTTTCTCAGTAAACTCTTATTTTAGATCCTTATTGGAACCTAAGGAGAGTTCATTCCCCTGAAAGAAGGTATGGCGATGTAAACTGCCCCCTCGGATAGCATTTTTACTATGGAAAGTTGTGAGGGAACAAGTGTTAACGGTGGATAACCTCCGATTTAGGGGCTTTTATGTTACGAAATGGTGTTATGTGTGTAGGAGAAATGGGGAGACGATAGACCACTTATTCCTTCATTGTGACGGTGCACGTTCCCTATAGAACAATATCATGGCTTCTCAACACATGGATTGGTTGTTTTCGCAGCGTATGGAGGATGTATTGAAGACATGGAGGAGGAGCTTTTGTAATAAAGATAGCAAAATTGTTTAGGACCTTATCCGAGGATGCATCGTCTGATGTGTGTGGAGGGAAAGAAATAGCAGTTTTAACGATCATACACGGACAACGGAGCAAATTAAAGAACTGTTTTATTTGACACTGTATACTTGGTTTAATGCCGTGGCTAATACTCGTGTAGACGGATTGCCCAATTTCATATCGTTTCTGTCTTGTATAAATTAATAATACATTTCTTGTGTATTATCCACAATTAATAAATTATTTGATTACCTATCAAAAAAAAAAAAAAAAAAAAAAACTGTATCTACATAAAAATGCGAGCATTGTAAGTGGCATAGTTTAAGCAGTGGTAGCACAGACTTCTGTTCAAGTATACAAAAGTTAAATAACCAAGAGAACTAAGAATTGCATTATATCCAATTGAGGAACATACGATTGCAGATTGGAAAAAATATGAAGTCCCTGAAATACCAATATAGCAACGATTATTCAGATGTCAATTTAAATAATGCAGGCATCAATACCTAGTGAATCTGCAAGAACTTGCGTTAGCGCTGAATTCCCATAAGGAATGTTATCCTTCTTAGAGGTTAAGGATGCCAAAACATCTCCCAATCTGCATGTACAATACTCAATAGCTTATAATGGATGACAGAGGTAAATTTGAAAAATGTAGCAGTCTCGATGATCAAAATAATCTACTCAAAAATATACTTCCATTATCATCTTAGTCAAATGAAAGTGTTGAGAGAGTATCTGTTTAACTGGTTTTCATAAACAAATACTATCATGTGCATAGAAGCAGATAAAGAATTGGGTAACAACACACAACAGCAGCACCATCATACACACAAACAATATGGGACTTAAAACTATTAATATGTTATCCAACTATGGTAAATAATCAGTCTTTAAAAGAATGAAAATCTGCTATGATTAAACATAGGACGAAGCTCTTTTAGAATTCAATATGTCCACATTAAAGAAAAGGAAAATCAAATATCCACAGAAGTGTAAAAGAGGAGGAAAATATAAGATGAGACAAGCGAAATTGGACTACTATTTATGTGAGAATGTTATTGTTAAAGATGATTACAAGAATAAATGCACAACTTACGCTGAGAGTGATTTCAAAACATGCAGAAACTCTGCTGCACGCTCACCCGTTTCTTCTTCTACAATTGAACTTTCACTTCCAGCCAAATCAACAAGAGAAAGCTTGCTATATAAATTCTCACCCGTGATCAAGTTGTTATAGTATATGTGTATCATCACAATACTGCAAAGAAAAATAAATAAGCAAATAGATTAATAAAACCTCAGCAGAATAAAAGAACTGAGAATAATCTGCCTTCTAAAAAACCACAGAAGAACAAGACATGAGTATAAAGAAACATGTCCGAAAACTATTACCATAACCATAAATCTTCAACCTATTTGTGAAATATAAAGCAATTTCCCATTTCTTGGGTAGTTCTACCCACTATCAATGATTTACTCAGGAATAAAGCGACAAAGACCCACTAACAATGATGTAATAAAACAAGTACAAATTATAATACATTTGCGGGCACTACAGAGCAATTTATCCAGTTTTCTGTCCTTAAGAACCACTTTGAGGACTGTCTATAAGTAAGTTGCATATACTCCTCTTGAGAATTTCACGTCATTTAACTTCAAATCAAGTTTTTACACATAATCAAACAAAATGGATTAGAATTGCAGATATTATCACAACCTCAAATGGATACTGCTTTACAACATATAATTTCATCACTCCAGGATGATGCAAAATGTGTAAATAAAATTAAATGCAAATTTGGTGTTTTACATAGGAAAGTGTTGTAAACAATATTTTTAATGATGTTTAGGCAGAGTTTATGAGGTTTAATTTTCAATGATTTTCCAAAATTTGAGTTTTTAAGCTTTCTTATATTTTAGGAGAGACATGGTTGCATCTTTTTTTTATCGATAAGTCTCAATTACAACTAATCAATGATTGGTCTTAAAATCTATTAATTAAGAGCTTCCAAATTGCACTACTATTAACTATAAATAATAAAGTTGAATATGCAAATTTGCCTAACCTTTGCAAGTGTGAAGCGCATCTTTTTTTTCCTAATCTATTTGTGATTCCTGCGGTCTAGCACTAAATTATTCCATTTTTCAACATATTATATTGGCAATTATGTCCAAATTACATATTAAATAAGAAGAGTGATTCCATTAAAATTAATGTTATTGGATGTTGTTATTAGCACACAAGATTAGGGCTGGACAAAACTCTCAAATCGAGCTGTTCTTCTTAAATTAAATATCTAAACGGATATCTGAATTGAGAACCAACAAGTTTGGTTCGATTCTAGGATAACCGAATATGAACCAAATCTCCCTAATGTTTTTAATTAATTTATTTTAAATAAGCCAAATTGTTTTTCTAAATAAATTTGCTAATTAGTTAATTTAGCTAAAACCCAAAAATATTATTTTTCTATTTCTAAATTTCAATCTAAGTCAACTTAATCAAATTGACTTAAGTTTTACCCAAATCTATTATTCTACCGTAGTGCCGTTTCTACCATTCTAGAGAAATCAAATTGAAACTCAACAATGCCTCTCTTAATTATTGTGAACGCGTTATCTTCCTCTTCCCGCAATTTTAACAATCAAATTTATGAAAAACTAAACAAATAGAGCCGCAAAAGGTACATAATATTAGACTACGTTATTTTGTAAGAGTTAAGATTGAACATGTCATTAGTTAAATTAATGTAACTTTGTCATATTAAAAAAATTAATTATGGGACGGAACCCAAGAACCGAATGAAACCAAGCCCAAACGGTTTCATAATTAAATTTGGATCCAACGGTTCCACTTACTAAATACTTGAAAATTTCGAGTCATGTTTGATTCTAAACATGCACGGCCCTACACAAGATAGCCACATATACTTGCTTAACTGGCTTTGGAATGCTTAGAGCATGTGTGGCTAATCCTAAAAATATGAAGTAATAAATATTCAAAAGTAACTTTAAGCTTAACCAAACATGTGCTAAGCTTAAAAGTTACTTCAAACTAGTTTTAAGTAACCTTTTCTCCCAAGATTGTCCCTAAAAGAAAGTACAAGCACCTTTTAGTTCAAAAATTTACTTTTTCGAAGAGTTAGTCTCTATTTAATTTCCAAAAACAAACTTTTATTTCCTTTTAAGACTTAGACAAACATGCTGCTAATTAACCAGCCAACCTTAGGTCACAAATACCATTTATGAGGCCCTATGAGAGGTTCCTAAAGTTGTTCTACACAATAGTAGCTGCAACTACAACTGCTCCTAAATTTATAAACAGCCTTAAGTTTATATATAGTTGATTTGAGGTCATAGGTCTTGCAGAGGTGGACATGTATTCACTTAACCATATAAAAAACCAGCAAGAAAGTAAAATAAAATAAGCCCCCACGTGGATTGCATAAGAATAAAGTTAACTGATTAAATAACAAATGCATAAGCAGAATAAGCCTCAAGATTATATGGCAGAAACATTGACATAGATCATACAGATGAGAGACTTTAAACTTCAATATATCAGTTCCTCGATTCTGAAATGCAGTTTTGAGACTTCTGGAGAAATCCATAGGATTCTCAACTTTTTCTTGCACAAGTTGTACAATATAGTCTGTTGACCCAATGCTTATATTTGGTAGCCCATTTCTAGATTCCAAAAGCAAATCGCGTATCTACAATCACATTAATGAGGTCCAACATCAGAATTGTATATATTTCCTTTAAACAAACACAAAACACATGGCAGATGGAGGGTGAAACGTGGCATTTAACATTTTATACATAGAAAGTGAGTCACCTGCTCATTATAAAGCTCAAAGACAGAAACTGAGAAATTATATCGACATGTTGAAGTAGAATCTGAGTTCGATAAATTTTTGTTTTTTTGTGTTGGTGGGGGGGGGGGGGGGGGGGGGGGGGGGGGGGGGAAGAGAGAGAGAGAGACCATAGTGTGTGTCTTTCCTGAGTTGGTTTGTCCATATGCAAATATCGCGACATTATATCCATCAAATGCTGACTGAACAAAAGGCTGAATATCACTGAAGAGATCAGCTGCACATGGTGAAGTCACATAAAGTTAGTACAGTTCCAGGACCTCCTGAAACACAGAATGAAGGATAGAAGTTCCACCTTGTCCAACATGAGGTCCATAAACCCTGTCAAACTCAAAATCCTTCTTCGGATTGGAGAGGCTATCATCACCAGTATTTACACTTAGTGTGCAGTCATCAGGAAATTCAACAACAGATGGACCTTCATCTTCAAAAAGCGGTCTTGCACGACAAAACACCTTTATGTTTCCTGTCATTTTTAAACATGGGTTTCACATAATATAAGAATGAGAAGCCCTTTGAGACAGCTTGCATCTCTGTGAGAGTTTTAGATATAGGGACAATAGAAAAGCAAAGAGAACTTGGAGAACCATTCAGTACCTTTGGCTGTCAATAAGTCATTAAATAACTTTTTCTTCTCAAATATCAGAGGGGATATTCTAGACTCTGTTTCAAGAGCAGCCTGATCTGAAAGTAGATGAATATGTATCCGGTAAAACATTTTTTTAAACAAATTTACAGCAAATAAATCATCAGGAAAACATTAAAGATGTATGGACAGTTAAAACCTCACAAATTATTAATGATTAACCACGTCAAAACTGTTAGTGTAGAGATCTAAGCCAAGAAGTAGAGTGTGACATGAAGAAAAAAGTTTTCTATGGTTCAAGAAAAGATCGCTTCAGTATCATATTCGATACAGGTACTGTTACTGAATGTGAGAGAGAAATTCATGAGGGAACAAATGGGAAAATGAAACAACGTAAGAAGAGGCATGAAAATGATTAAAACCATAAGATCATCTTCGTAAAATTTAACTAGAAACTAACAAAGAATCAGTCCAACATAATAAACCAAAAATTCTTGTATGTCTACCCAAATCCTAAAGCCAAACTAATTTGTTTACCTAGCTTACGGGTCTTATCAGCAAGTACACCGAGGTATCGTGTCACCCGATCAAGTTTTGCATTGGAATATTCTTGAAGATCGATAGCTTCTTGCCTCAAGTCCATGTAATCTTCTCTGACAATCTGTCAGGAGAAATTAAAGAAAATTCAATTTAAGAGGAAATAATATTTATGGATAATAGCCATACATGCTCTAATAAAACTACAGAAAAGGGAAAATAAATCCCATATTGATCACAAGTGAATCGGCATGATGTTTATTGAATATGTTCAAATGCAATTTTCCTCTTCCTCATTTTTATTTTTAGCATATATTTAAACGTCCAAGTTCTTTGAAGAACTTATCATGTTTCTATATCATGCTGAACATAATAAATACCCTTTAAGAGATTATTTACTTGGCTGTTGATGGTACTTGCGTAACCAAAAATGTAGCCATTAACAGAATATTTGCTTGATGCATAATTGATTAGGCATATAATTATACAATGTATATACAGACGTTAATACTTGGCTTCGGATGGTTCAAGCAAGGAGACCCTTTGTCGCTGCTTTTGTTTAAGTTAGCAGCTGATGTTTTATGTAGTTTACTGGAAGAAGCGAGAGACGTGTCTTTGCTAGAAGATTTGAAATTGGGATAGAATGAATTTAAGTTACAGTGAGGGGACAGCACACTGTTTTTTCTTGAATGCTCCCAAGGACTGGTTCATTAATTGTTTTATCACAAACCTCTTGTAAGAGTTTGGTGATGACCTGTCTTTTTCTGACTAGTATAATAGTATTAAAAGTAATTCAACTCAAATAATGCCTCATAAAAACTAGTGCAAAATCTGATGCTTTACTAGCCCTAAATCTAGTATCCGCCAATCATTGTCGCCAGGTGCAAGTAAAACTCTAAACTGTGCTCTTGAACTTGATGAAGACATGTATATTATAGTGAATTCTTTCTTCACCATTAAGAGTTGGCAACTGCCAGCTGTAATACTCATCCATACAAGTTAAACTAGTAAAGAGTGTCAAAGTTTTCCGGCAACTCTCAGCACCAAACTTGATGTCAACATTCCCATGACTATAGTTCCAATTCACCAGAAACCTAAGTGTGAATTTCCAAATATCCACCTAGTACTGGATGTCAGCATTCCCATGATTCCATGCATTCTCCAGAAACCCCAACTAGTGGGAATTTAGAAACCTCCCACCGTAGATATGAACATAACAATAACTTCAAAATTCAATTCCACAGGAAGAGAGTTTAGGTACCACCAAGAAAATTCAAAGCATCTTTCAAATATGACCACCATTAAAGAGATTAAACCAGGGATTTTTATTTCATTGAAATTTCAATCATATACATTTCTACATCAAAATTAACTCCCACAAGCAAACAACTTCAAATCATACAACCATAAACACATTATCCTAAATTCGTGTATCTGCATAACATATATGCCCAGAAAGATTTTCCTTGCGCAATTCAAATGACACCCTTAAATTTAATGATAAATCTACAAAAGCTAATCATTTAATATGGATTGTCTTCAAAACATAAAGATGAAGTTTAATAAAATAGTTATATCTCACTGTTTCAAAAATATATAAAGAGAGAGGAAAAAAATAATAACAAAGAGCAGAGCAAAAAATGGGACCTTGACTTTGTCCTTCAATTTCTGGACCTTAGAGTTAAAGCCCTGCTTCGTGAGCTCAGGAGTCGACGACACAGACATCGAGTAGCGGCGGACCACCGGCGCCACGGACGCCTTCTGATAATCATCATGCTCCACCAATTTCCTGGGCTCGAATCCGGTCACCTCCCAATTCCATCTTCCCTTCTGCTCCCCCATTCTCGAACAAAACAAAATGGATATTCACGCAACACTTCCCTCCTCCCGAAATCAAATTGAGAATTACAAAAATATAAATAATCAGAAGAATATTAGATTATGCGGAGAAAATGAGTATAAATGTACTCTCCTCCGCCTTGGTAAGGTGAGGTGAGTGAATCGTGGTTTTCAATTTTTTGCTTTTTGGCAATATTAAATATGAAATTTTCATTTTAAATTTAATTGATACCTTAGATTTAACGTCATCATATTAGGATGAGTGATTTTATAGGAGGACACCTTCGGACAATTGGGTTCACAAAAAATTAGGGCCCCGAAATGGAGCACGTAAGAGTAGTAGTGCATTGCCTATTTGCTTTTGGGTTGTGCTATGTACAAAGGAGACCCCTCCAGAACACAAATAAGAGAACAGGTAGTGAATATTTTTTTTTAATATTTTACTCACATGAGATCCATCCATATGAGTATGCTGGAGGGGCCCTCCTCTGTACAAATGGAAAGATCCGTTTGCTTTCATTGTGCTGAGTTGAATAGCGTGCATTCTTTGCTAATATCGAGTTTGATGTGGAAGCTAGCTGTGGCTTTTTTAGACCATGTTAGTTTGATAGTCATTATTTAAAATAATAATATTTTAAATGGTAATTTTTAATAGAATGTGTAGTTAAAAAATAGCTAAAAAATTTAAATTTACATGGAGAAAATTTTAATGTGTAAATGTATTGCTAAAAATGAGTATATAAAAAATAGCTTTCAAATAATGACCATCAAATGGCTAGATATCTAGTTCAATAACAATATAATTAATTTAATAATCTAAAATCCACGTCAATTAGCTAGTATTTTATAATAACTTTTAGTCCCTTTTCGAAGGTCGTTATAATGAAAAATTGAGAGAAAATGATGTTTCGAATAATAATTTTTTAGAAAATGTATGTTTATAAAGTAAGGAAAAATTATGAATTTATGTGAATAATATTTTATCATGTTTATGTGTGAATTAGAATGAATTGTTTTAATTTAAAAAAAAAAAAAGTCAAAATAGGCTTAAATTTATGACCTTATAAAATTAAGTATCTCAAACCTTCAATCTTTTTTAATATAATATAAGTTCTTACTTCAAATTTCATTTTATCATTTTTGAGATCACTCTTATGAAATTTAAACCAACTTAGGCCCGTTTATCTTCAGATTTATCGTGATTTATGGTTAAGTTTGAGTGTGTAAATGAAAGATCAGTCAAGATAATGAATCTAAATTTGAAGGTCCTCAAATGGAAATAAAGTTGGTCATCGCTAAGGGCATGCTTAGGGGTTTCTTTTTGACAGGTTTTTACCGTTTTGGTGGCAACGTATATGAAAGGCAATTGATACTTATTAATTTTTCTTGGCCCTAACTTTCAACATTTTACCCCAAAAATGGGGATCGGGGCATAATTTGATTGCTTGACACAAGGAGGATTGGGCTGACTGAGTTTTGCATAGAAGTTAGGAATTATTTAAGCTTATTATTTGTTAGATTAAAAGATTACTTATTTTAATAGTATAGTAAGAATTACTCCTTTTACAAAATGGTGGCATCCATAAACATTAAACATAAGTTATTTGTTAGGTTACAAATTTTCAATTTATTCACAAAACAAATTAATGGAATGTCGGAATCCCACCTACTAATGAAATCCACTCATGATGTAAATAAACTATACATGGATTTTGGGGACTATTGTTACGCTTCACCACACGTGTATACGAGGGCACGTGGTTCCACGCTATCGGGGCCCTCGTATCCACGTGGTCGATCATCAAGGCTCCTTAATCAAGCAATCGACCCACGCAAAGTATTGGAACCACCCCCACGAAGCTTTCCCCACGAGTGACGAGGTAGACAGATTAGTCCGCGACCTGTCTCTTTTGTTGAAGCTGAGGCTCTGAGTCGAAGAGCCTTGGAGGAGTCTAAAGCCCCTGCATCCGACGATGACCTGCACGAGGAAGATCCTGGACTTGTGTGCGAAAATTTCTTGAAATGATCGATGGGACATTTATTATGAGTATAAATGTCGAGTCTTGTCAACAAAGTCGCGACTCGGTGTAAACATCGAGTGCACCACAAGCTAGCAAGTCAAAACTAATGCCGATGATTAAATGCTTGGACTAAGGAGATGAGACAACATGTATTTCCATCCAAGGGCCACCATTTTATTTGCAATGCTATAAAAAACCCACCAAGGTAACATAGAGAGGCTAATGAAAATCTACACACTAAAAACTCCTATTCATTTTATCTCTTGTTGAATATACTCGTTTTAGCTCAAGAATAGATGACTTTGCTTTCTTCAAATTATTGCGATTGGTTACTATCTTATAACCGATCTAAAAGTATATTGTCGGATCTTGAACATATTTGTCTCGTGCTATAACGCATCTCCCACATCCTAATTCAAAGCATTGTCGACCAACGTCCTGTCCACACGTGTTGGAATTTGCGTACATGTGCACAAGTGAGATTTGTATCCGTTGTCCACGTAGCTCTAACTGAAAAAATGAGGTCAACATTATTAAGATTTCTTGGCCCTAAATTTCAACGGTTTAAAATTACCAAAAATCAATGTAGTACAGTTGATTTTCACCGTCTCTCAAATTTTCTTCCAATTTTACCCTCTATGAAATAACTTTTTCCAACCCACAAATTATTGTTCACTAGAATTACGTGATGCAAGTGCATGGATCGCATTTAAGTAATAAAGTTGACAATCAGTCCAACTGAATCCCTCAAGAGATGTTTATTTTAGTTATGCTATTCTAATCAATTTAATTCTAACAAACGGACACACAATGGAATTTGCTTTTAAAAATTTTAAAAAGAACAATAAAAAAAATAAATCATAAATTAAATAATGTTAGGAAAATAAAGTAGTTGGGATTTATGATTTCGTTTAATCGTCATTTCTCCACAAGAATATCAACAAATTACAAATTTATAATGTTAGCCCGATTTTTCTAAATAAATCATAAATTAAATAAAGTTAGGAAAATAAAGTAGTTGGGATTTATGATTTCGTTTAATCGCCATTTTTCCACAAGTAAATCAACAAATTACTCATTTATAATGTTAGCCCAATTTTTCGATTTTAGATAATTACCTCTCTCGAGCGAAATTCGCAATAATATTTGTTTTAACCTATGATACATCTATGTCAACTAAAGTCCAAAAAACTGCATTAAATTTTTATCAAAATGGCACAATAAGCCCCCATTACCTGAAAATGGAAATGGGGGGAATAGTATTTTTTTTTTAAAATGAGTGATTGAAAAGGAAGGAAAAGTTTTCGATTTACGTGTAATATTATTTTATGGAAGATTGTGTGGTCGAAAATATGAGAGAGAAAAATGAAATGTAATATAATTGAATTTAATGGGAATCAAACGGGTGCTTCTTTTAAGGAATATATCTCTATCCCTTACAAGAATCTAAAATATTTACTATTGGTCTAAAATGACTCTACAAGACTTATTGAGCTATTTTCATAAAGATAGATATATCCATAACTCTATATGACTTATTGAGCTATTTTCATAAAGATAGAGCAACAAACACAATAGTAAATACACGCACAAAAAAAAATAACTAATTTAACATTTATGAGCATGTATTGAACCTACATCATAAACCCCAAAATAAAAAACTAGCTCATTTTATATAAATACAAAAACGGAGAAGAGTATGAATACATTCCAAGTTTTAGAGGAAAAAAAGGACAAAATATAATATAAAATATAGAACCAGTCCCTTGGATCGATCCTAGAAGGAAAATCAGCTTGATCTCAATTTTTCACAAAATCTCCTCTTCTTTTTCCTTTTTGTGCCCTTGTTTTGGCACCCAGAAAGTAAAGAAAATGAAAAGAAAAAGAGAAGAATGAAGAATGCCCTAGAATGATTGAATTTTCCCTTTTAAAATGCCCTAAAAAGGTCCTCAGCCCCTCGTAAAAATTGAAAACGGTACCAATTTTTGAACTAGCGCTTAGGCGCTCAAGTTCTGTCCAAAATACAAGAAGGTGGCGCTTGGGACTTTCTACCCTTTTTTGCAGCTTAAGTCTCTTGGTAATTGTGCGTTAGGTTCCTCAACTTTTGATCCTGTACGTTTTGTTCATCAAATTTTGACTTTTCTTTCAATTATGACATTTAAATTTTGCATCCAAGGTCCTTAAACTTTCGACCTATGTGCACTTTTGGTCCCTAAATTTATATTCTTAAGCTTATGGTCATTTTCTCCTCCTTTTTGCCTTGTTCTTTTTCAATTTGGGGGGGGGGATGTTTGCCGACAATAGCAACAATTTCACAACTGTGAGTTGAAATTTGCTCCCTTCATCGATAATAAGCTTATTTTAATTAAGTGTCATATAAGTGTGTTATGTTCAAAACAAACTTGTAAATTAAGTCATTGTTTGAACCCCATTTTTCTATCAAAATGAATTATTTAACAGTGTTTCGATCTCGTTTTAACCATATATCTTTAATAGAATAATTTTACGCACAAATTCAAAACTTTTCCATCCGTCATAACATTATTACAAAATGTTTTTAGGAATAAATGGGGCTCAAATAAGCCCTAAAATACAATAACTAAAAAAATTATTTATATAAAAAATAAATACCTTATAACTACGTAATTTACTTATAAAAATTAAAAAATTACTTATAAAATAAAATTCAGTTTGTTATAAAAATTGCTTATAAAGTGAATATACTCTTAAATAATTATTTAAAAGTACAAAATTAACTTATAACTTTAAAATTTACTTAGAAGTAAAAGAAAAGTATATTTTTAAAGTTTAATTATAAGTAAATATTTCACTTTTTAAGTTAAAAGCTAACTTATAAATAAAAATTATTCATACCTAAAATGTCACTTATGAATAAAAAAGTTTCATACAATAAATTAAAAATTAAAAATATTACTAATGAGTATGTATGTAATTTTATTATTTTAAAATACTTTCAAAATCGTTGGATAATAAACCATCAAGTATGGATTTGACCGTTTTAAAAATCACTCAAATTCAAACCCTTCATAGATACCAGTAACGTACTTTAAAAAACTCCACAACAGGCTGCTCGAAACTCCCACATAGACCCTAAAGGTTCTTTTACTCATTTAACACAACTTTTATTTGCCTCCATTTTGTTACCTTGAAA